CTCCTGGGTGGCTCAGCAGTTAAGTGTCTGACTTCAGCTCAGGTCACAATCTCAGAGATGTAGATTCAAGCCCCTCATTGGGCTCTGTGCTGACAGCTCAGAGCCTAGAGCCTGCTTCAGATTCTGTTGTCTCCCTCTCTCTCTCTGCCCCTCCCCCACTCATGCACATGCTTTCATGCCCTCTCTCTCTCTCTAATATGAATAAATATGAAAAAAATTAAGAAAATATACACTGAAATATTACGGAGTAAAGAGGCTCAATATATACAAGTTACTCTCAAGCGATTTAAGGGATATACACATATTAATATATATGTACATATCACCTGTGGTCTTTCTGGGAGACAGAATATAGAGCAAATGGGATAAACTGTAAAAAGTTGATGAAGGATAAATGGTAGTTTTTTGTATTATTTTTGCAATGCTTCTAGAAATTTGGAAATATTTAAAAATAAAGCATTAAAAATTTAACAAAACATAAAGAGACTAATACTTCTTTGACATGACATTTATTTCTGAGCAACAGCTAGTGTCATGCTTAAGGTGCAAACACCAGCAGCATTCCCACCAAAGTCTAGAACAAGAAAAAGATGCCACTCACCAATACTTAACATTGTACTGAAGGTACTAGCCAACAAAATTAGAAAAGAGAAAGAAATCAAATATACAAAACTTCAAAAGAAAAGAAAACAAGACCATTTGCGGACCATATGATTGTAAACCTAGAACTGAAAAAAATAAGACAATTTCATAAGAAATATGAATATAAAATTAATATATAGAAATCATTGGGAGGATGGCAATGGAGTCATTTCTGGAGCTGTCCCTGAACTGTCGTGCCCCCTCCTCTTCCACTTCCCATTGTTAATAATAAAGGCCATCTGTACCATAAAATGTAAAAATATAAAGTAAAATTTAAAATTATACACACACAGAGAGAAATCACTGGCTTTCACTTATAACAGAGAAACCTAAGTATTTGTTTAAAGAAAGTAATTTAGCTTCAGCTTCAGCCTCAGCCTTTAAAAAGCCAAAAACCCAAATAACAACTTTACTGTCAATTTAGGCATTTTTAAAATAGTAAGCTACTAATAATTTTACGATCACATAGATCATGATCACAGATAATCACTGTAATAGCATTATAGTTGTATAATGCCATTCACCCCTCAGAAACGTGTTCAGGACATATAGCACAGCATAACATACTGGAATTCCCAGAATTACTGGGAGAAAAGCATAAAGTGAATGGGCCACTATAATCATTCTTCTTGAGGCAAAGACTAAGGAGTCGGCTGTACAAGAGATATTTGAAGTCGCCTTTTCTTGTACTTACACAAAATTTTCAAACAAGATACAAACACCAGTATTGCACATTGAAAAGATCTCTTCATAAAAGACAGAAGAGATCATGTACTTTGAAGATAACAATACAAAATAGCAGTAAGCCCTAACAAACTACAGAAAAATACCCACAATACTTGACCATTCCAGGAAAAAACAAATCCCTTATGTTGTTTGTAAGTACAAAGAAAAGGATCTTACCACATCAATCCTGAATCGGGGGTTGGTGGAGAGTTGACGGGAGAGTTACACTGTTTATATATTTTTTATGTATTCAGGTATTACTACTTATATAAATATAATTTTCTTAAGGCCAGTTATGCATTTTAGGAGATAACAGAACAGCAAACTCCAAGAGCATTGTCAATTCACGGAGCGCAGGACCTGGGCCTCAGAATCTCGAGTGAAGCAATGAAGGAGTCACAGTGCTCTGAGGCCTAAAGCCGAGGAAATTCTTTTGAGTCCCACCTCATTGCGCCTAACTTCCAGTACCCAAGTTACCTATACTTTCTTCTTCCAATGGAACCGTCTGTGGCCACCTCGTTTCCAGCGCAGAACCTGAGACTGTAGTTGCTAATTCCGCCAAGGGATCAAGTACTTCATGCTGATTGGTTAGGCAGTATTGATTGACATCAAGGAAACCCAATGAATGGCCCTGACAGTCCTTGGCCTCTTGCAGGAAAGTCTGGCGGGATAAGATATCTGATCTGGGGCCTAGCGAGCCATTCCTCAACCTGATAGATATTATGCCATAAAAATAACTGAAAAAGTACTTTCTAACAGATCAGACCCCCCTTTAAGATGATGATCATGATTATATAAAGATGATAGTATTTTTTTTTACCATTCGTTCAACACCTGCTACGTGCCAAGCCCTTTTCAAAACGGGAACGGCGCTGACAGTGTAAAGTGGGAGAGACAGATTCTAAACATAATAAACAGTAAACAGCTGCTACCTACTAAGCACTCACGATGTTCCAACAACATTTTACTTACACTACCTCACAACCGCCATGCACAGTGAATGGCATTCTCCCATTTTACATGTAAGGAAACTGAGGTTTAGAGAAGGGGAAATGACTTGCCCATCATCACCCAATTAGAAAGTGGAAAACCAGAAGAGGAAATAGGGCACATCTACTCCAGAAACCCTGCTAACTGCTTCTGTCTCAGGGCAGGTCCACATTCCCTTGGAAGGGGAGCTCGCAGTGAGGATTCACAGGACTAAGGACAATGTTGAGCTCCAAAGTGGAATTGCTGAGGTCAGGTGAGCAGCAGACACCAGGTGGTACCAGTCAAGGCCTGATTCCACCTTGCTCAGAGCCCTCACTACTGGGCAGACCAAGAGCCCCAAGCCCTACCCTGCCCCTCACCTGTGTCCTGGCCAGCTTTACACTTATCTCTCTGTCACTTACACCAGGGAACGTCCACTTTCACTCTCCTGAGTGGAACGCCCATTATTCCCTGAGCGTGGAAATGTCAAGGGCCAAAGCAGTTGTTCCTGAAAGTTCCTTCCCTCGTCCCCCACCCCTGACCCCCTCACCACCACCACCACCACCTTCTGCCTGGACACCAGTAGCACAGCGGTTGCTTCCCATTACCTGGGACCCTGGGCATAGGTTCCAGCGGCATCCACAATAACCCCCACGGAGACTGCAGCTCCCCGGCAGCCGGCACCCTCCTCTCCCCACTCCCCTTACCTGCACTGCCCACAGAGCCTTTGCAAGTTCATGAGTTCACGCAAACAGTGCCCCGCCCCAGGTCGCACGTACTCACGGGAATTTCCAGCCGCAATGCCAGAAACACCGGAAACACAGCCATAAGAGCTGGTACCAGCCCTCTGAGCAAGGAAAAACCCTGACGTAGTCCAGGAAGTCTGAGTCCTGATGGAAAGCATAACTACCCTGGTACCTGAACTCTCAACCGCTAAATGAAAACAAGCTCAGTGATCTTAAGCACTGGAAAACAGGGGCTCTGGGGTGGCTCAGTCGGTTGAGCGTGGGACTTCAGCTCAGCTCATGATCTCTCGGTTGGTGGGTTCCAGCCACACATTGGGCTTACTGCTGTCAGTGCAGAGCCCGCTTCGGATTCTCTGTCCCCCTCTCTTCTCTCGACGCCGCTCCCTCTCTCTCTTTCTCTGCAAGATACACACACACACACACACACACACACACAAACTTTAGTGTAAAACAGAAAATTTGGGGGAGGTACCTACAGAGAATTCCTAGGCCTCATGCCCCAGGAATTCGGATTAAGTGATTCTGGGATGGAGGAAAGCATCTGTGTTTTCCATAAATTTGCCAGGGAATGGCAAGGCCTCCAAGTCGCAGACCACCAGCTTAAATGTCCATTAATTGAGGTCTGACTTAAATGTAATTCCAAAGGAATGCTATGCAACCTTAAAAATGGAAATCTAAATATGCTATTTTGTAAAAAGGAATAAGATGAGCAATCGCGTGGTTAAGGAACAGGGGTGGAAGAAAATGCTTTGTTGTCTTCTATTACCCCATTAGGAGAGTCACTTATTCCCAAATCAGCGTTTGGTGTTTCTTCCTATTAACACTAGATAATGAGTCAAGCCACACCTTCCTTTTTGTACCCATGATACACCAAGCAAATACACTTTTAACCTGACACTCAGATCAAAGGCGCTGATGCTGCCTCACCTTAAGTAGGCCTTGACACGCCAGACCCTGTTCTGCTAGTTCTGGGCTTCTGAGCAAACTGACTACAATTCTACACATTTTCATCATTGTAAATTGGGCTAACAACGTATATTTTGTGGTTGTATATTAGGTCAAACTAGATAAACTCTTACGTCTGACGACAGTAGTGTAATAATTACTATACTATGAAATGGCTATGTATATAGTACGGTAATAAATTGATTATGCGGGAGCAGCTACCAAACACTCAATTCTAATCTCATTTCCTCTTTCAACACCGCTGAAAGGCTCCAACAGTTGTTTGCAACTTCCGCAAAGGCGTAAGGATATAGTTCAAATATTTCCCACTATTCAATCCAAAGAAAAGCGCTGTTCACTTCCGGGGCGGGGCTTCGGAGGAGGCGGGCCTTACATCTTGCCCTGGTGCTGCGTCACAGTGGTTGGACTTGAAACTTAATCAGTTTCCCAATTAAGGTCGCCCTCATTTAAGATCAACTTAAGAAAGGTCAAGATCTTAACACTGGAAGCCAACTCCTAGAGTGACATCATTGTTCTGACTCCTAGTGACCTATAAAGTATTTCTTTACTCACAGCTTCGGCTACTGGGATGCACAGATACCGCGAATTCTAGGGGCGGAGCCTCGGTGGGGGCGGAGCTTAGCGTGACATTTTGCGACTTCGGTTCCGCTGGCGTCACTTGGAGTATCTTGGCGCAAATCCGTCCGTGTGAGGAGCCTGGGATTCCACCGCCTGAGGCCAAGCCCTGCGCCGCGTGCTGCACCACCAGAACCTGGACCACCAGAACCTGGACCGCGGGCCTCCCGGGACGCGCCCCCAGAACTCCTGGCACCCTCTCGGAGTCGCGTCGCACCACGCCCCGCCGCACCCCGCCGCCTCACGTGTCGTCGAGACCTGTCACTGCGTGCAGCCCCCGGCCCCTCACGGCCTCCGCTAGACCCCGGGAGCGCCACCCGCAGCGCAGTCCAGGTGATGGGCACCCGGCCCCGCAGCCCCAGCGCCCACCCTGCGCCCTGCCCGGGGCCGTCGTGCGGAGAACCCGGCCCTGCCAAGCGCCGCCGAACCGAGGAGCCCGCGGACCTGGAAGGCCTGGAGGGGCCCCCGGCCGCCGGCGCCCTCACCTCCGTGGTGGTTCTGGCCGACGGCTGTGCCCTGCAGGTGCCCCTGGACGACGTCGACCTGGTGCTGGAGCCCGAGCCGACGTCGGTCCTGCAAGTGTCCGTCGGAGAGTTCACCCTCCTGCTGGTCCCCGAGGCCCTGGTGCGCTCAGGAGGGCAGGGCCGCTCGCCCGCCGGCCTGGAGCCCCGCGCTTGCCTGCACGGGCCTGGGCACCACGTCGCCGTCGAGCAAGGATTCTTCCGCGCACCGGTGCCACAGATGGCGCCCCGAGAAGAGGCCCACGAGGAAGACGCGGACCCCGAGTTCCCGCCGCCTGGCACGGACCCTGCGGCGCGCTCGGTCGCCGGGCTCCGCCCCTGCGCGGGAGGCATGGCCAGCCCCTACCTGCTGGGCCCGGTACCAGAGCCCCGGTCCTGGGTGCCCACCCCCAGCCCAGAGAGACGCTCTTCTTTCCGCTACTTCGACCTGGACGTCCACCTTCTGGAGCCCTTCCCCAGCTCGCCACTTCAACCTCTACCTCCCTCTCCGAGTCCAGGTCCCCACGTGCGACCCCAGCGCCCTCCAGGTCCTTCTCGCAAGGCCCGAAGACGCCTGTTCCAGGAATGAGCTGTTCCCACAGTCTCTAGCCATCTAGTAAAGACCTTAAGAGAGTCTTTTAAGAGCGACTGTGTGTACACTGCGCAACCTGCAAGAATCACCAAGCACGAATAATGGACAGAGGTTCTTTTGATGCAAGCTGCATGCAAAATTTTGGACCAATGGTGGACCAAAACATCTGGAAGTCACCAAAGCAAAGAAATGCTGTTTTAAGTACAGATGTACTTTCAGACATCTGAAATGCTGCGTAGGTTGTTTTGTCTATAAAGTTTGCCCCTGAGTAGCTCCATTCTCCCTAGTTTTGGGAGTACTTCAGCACTTTTTTCTAAAAACCCATCCTTTGCACAGAACCCTACCATACTACCATGTACTTCTTCATTCCAAATTAGGGTAAATCGTTGTTTTTTGTTTTTTGGGTTTTTTTATCCTAATGTATTGTGGCCCTAGTGTGCATGCTAGTTTATGACAACCTTGCCATTTTGACCTTTCAGTGGCTGTAGAAGCTTTTGGGGAATCTAACAAATAGGTCTGTGTGGACAAATCTCTATTGGATACAAAAACACACAATGAGGAGCAATGATATGTGCCCTCCTTTTTTTAATGAGAAGGTTATCAAAGGGTTTAACTATATTGCTAGGTTAGGGGGGAATTTCCCCCAAAAGAACCAACTCTTTTCCATTCTTCCCATATATTTTTAATATAATTCTCCTCTGCTGGTAAAGTTTAAAGACTATAAATTTTGTTTTGATGGTTCTAAGATCCTGAATATATTTTTACATTATTACTGGCATATATAAATAATTTGTTATGTTGATCTGGTATCCAGAAAAATGATTTAATGTCTTTAATGGGTTATCTGTAGATTGTTTTACTTAACAAATAAAGACAATAATATCTCCAAAATAATGAGAATACTGTCTGTTTTGGGCTTTTTGACAAGCCTCTTACATTTTTTTTCCTTAAATTTTTTTTTTTTTTTGGATGTTACTCCAGGGCCAGGTTGAACAGTATGGTTGACGGGGGCATCCCTATCTTGACCCTTGTATTTATGCAAGCACTTCTAAATTTTACCATAAAGCATGATTTTTTTTTCTGGGCATGGTTGGTAGATGCCCTTTATCTTGTTGAAGAAGTTAGTTTTCAGTCTTTCTAGTCATGAAAAATCTTGGATTTTTATCTTGTCTGCTCTGGCTGACCGCAAAGGCTTTCTCAAATTATTGGAAATGTTGGCATTTACATAAAACAGCTGCATGGAACCTTTGGGTCACAGAATACCTACAGAAGCCTGCCAACAGAGCAAATGAGACCAGGCTTGGGGCTTCAGGGATTTTAAAAACTGGATGCCCTCCTGAGGCCTTAAGAAGAAAAGGTGGAAGGGGAAAAGCAGTAACTGCTGGGTCATTTTAAGGGTTTTAAATGTTAAATATTAGCACAGACTCTTCCGTACGCATAGATGACTTTTGTGCTTCCCTTTTTAATCTAATGATGTGGTGATGTGCACCATCTGACGGTGTCTTATCTTTGCCTTTTTGCTATTCCACATTATTTTATACAATTTGAATTCTACCCTGGATTCCTTTTTCTTTGTTTTTAGTTTTGTTTTGTTTTTACAAACAACCATATAGACACAACTTCTAATTTTAAAACGTCATTATTTTGCCAGGTTTGCCTCATATTTTTAAATAAATTATTCATGATAAAGTTAACGTTAACAAGATGCTCAGTTTTTCTGTTGAACATCAATAATTATTATTTAGATTTTCCAGCGTCTTTGCTCACCTTCCTTTCTTGCATTACAGTCATTTATTCTGTCCTCATTTTTCTTCTTACCAACGTATATTCTTTAAATTCTTTCAGCTGCGGCCCGTGTGTAAGTCTTAGTTTTGTATATCTGCAAATATTTCAATTACACCTTCAAACTTGTGTAACATTCTAGTGAGGGTTTGAATTCTACAATAATGCTTATATTCTCTCACTACCTTAAAGATACTGCTCAGGGGCACCTGGGTGGCTCCATCGGTTAAGCGTCTGACTGTGGCTCTGTTTGTGGTTTCAGTTTGTGGGTTCAAGCCCCTTCTAGGGCTCTGTGCTGACAGCTCATAGCCAGGAGCCTGCGTTGGATTCTGTGTCTCCCTCTCTCTGTCCTTCCCCTGTGCTCTCTCTCTCTCTCTCAATAAAATACATAAACATTTTAAAAAATTAAAATAAATAAAATAAAAAGTAAAGGGTATGTGGTATATACATACAACGGAATATTACTCCATCATCAAAAAGAATAAAATCTTGCTATTTGCAACAATATGGATGGAGCTAGAGTGTATTATGCCAAGCAAAATAGGTCAATCAGAGAAAAACAAATACCATATGATTTCATTCATATGTGGAATTTAAGAAACAAAACAGATGAACATATGGATAGGGGAAAAAGAAACAGAGGGAGACAAATAATGAGACTATTTTTTAAAGTTTTTAATGTTTATTTTTGAGAGAGAGAGAGCACGCAGGGAGGGGCAGAGAGAAGGGAAGACAGAGGATTTAAAGTGGGCTCTGTGCTGACAGCAGAATGTGGGGCTCAAACTCACGAACCATTGAGATCATGACCAGAGTAGAAGTCAGATGCCTAACCAACTGAGCCACCCAGGTACACTGTTTGGTATTTTTCTTGACTTTGATATTCTACAGTTTCAATGTGATGTGCTTAGTGGTAGAAATTTTGCCTGCTGCAACTCAATGAAATTTTTAAATCTGGAGATTTAACTTTAAAAAAAATCTCAGGGCACCTGGGTGGCTCAGCCAGTTAAGCGACAGGTCATCATCTCACGGCTTTTGAGTTCAAGCCCCACATCAGGCTCTCTGCTATCAGTGCAAAGCCTGTTTCATAGCCTCTCTCTCTCATCCTCCCTCACTCTCTCTCTCAAAAATAAATAAACTTTTAAAAATATTTTAAAATCTCAAAAAAAAAAAAAAGAGAATGAGTACCTCTTACACCATTGAATCCTTCTCCAATATCTGGAACTTATAATAAAAAATGGTGATACTTCTTAATCAATCCCTTTACCCTCCTGTCTCTTAGTATCTATATTATGTTTTTGTATCCTTTATAATAACCCACTTTCTCTCTGCTAATTCACTGATTCTGTCCTTTTCTATTTTTAAAATTCTGTTTATGTTCTTTATAAGACACTGTACATTTCATACTGCATTTTTCCTTTTCAAGATTTCTAGTTACTTGTTTTTAAAAAATATATTTTCTCTATTTTTCTCTGCCCCCCCACTTGCAGTCTCTCTGTTTCCAAATAAACATTTTTAAAAAATACTCTAAAAAGGAGGGTGCCTGGGTGGCTCAGTCAGTTAAGTGTCTGACTCTCAGTTTCAGCGCAGGTCATGTTTCATGAGTTCTAGTCCATGTCAGGCTCTATGCTGACCCTGCAGAGCCTGCTTGAAATTCTCATTCTATATCTCTCTCTCTGCCCCTCCCCTGCATACACTCTCTCTGTCTCTCTCGAAATAAATAAATGAACTTTAAAAAGTATTTCAAAAATATCTACCTGCCCTTATTTCACAATTTTTAATCAATGCAATATAAACTTTTCTTAATAAATATCTCCTTCTTTATCTCGAGAAGACTTTAATCATTCTTATTTTAAATTCTGTATCAATTAGCTCAATAATTCCATTTCCTCAGACATAAAATATTCAACCATTAATGAGATTGATTTCCTCCTGGGGAGAGAAATCTTGTTTTGGGGACACATTTTGAATGGGAATTCCTTTTCTCTCCATATTAGAATTTTGCATGTGCTTTATCCAGGTTCCCCAAGATCCAGAACTCAGACTGAAGCATATGGAGCTCAGTTGATGTGCCACTCAAAAATCAAAGTTCTCATCCTCGAGCAATCACACAGGACCCCAATTTCCAATTTCAGTACTGTAATGATGCTGGAGTGGACTATTCCTATCCCCACTCCATCATGACTGCTGGGCTAACTCAGCTGAGTTGCTCTCCAAGAATTACCCTCGGGGCACCTGGATGGCTCAGTTGGTTAAGCATCTGACTTCAGCCTAGGTCATGATCTCACGGTTCGTGAATTCGAGCCCTGCATTAGGCTCTGCGCTGACAGCTCAGAGCCTGGAGCCTGCTTCAGATTCTGTATCTCTCTCTCTCTCTCTCTCTTTCCCTCTCTCCCTGCCCCTCTCCCACTTTCACTCTGTCTCTCTCAAAAAATAACTATTAAAAAATTTTTTTAAAAAGAATTACTCTCAACCCCCATGGGAAGTCCACTCCAATGATTCAATTAGGGGATGCACAGGGCCAGTTCACTTGGTTCAAGACAACTCTGAAGAACTATCCCAATTCTAGAGCTCTCCATCGGTTGGCTGAGGCTTTTGTTGCAATTACATCTCAGTTTAAGCTCCATCTGTCCAGTCATATTTTCTTTATTCCCCCAAATTCCTGCATGAAAATCTCCACTGCAGTCTTCCCAAACCAATTCAGTATAGCTGGTGCCAGGAGTTACCATAGGAAGCAGACACTAAAACAGATTTCAGAGCTGAATCATGGAGTGTGAGTAGCCCATGGCATGCTACAACAAATCAGATAAGATATTAATCAATGGTGAACTTATTGACGTACTGGTAGAAGGAAATACATTGGCATTGGCAATATCCCAGGCATTTGAGAAATTTGGGGGACAGAGTAATTATAAGAAGTAATATTTATAAACATCATGGAATTAGATGGTTATTGCTGGAATGATCAATACATTCATGAGAAAGAATGAAAGGGGATACATACACTCCAATGTTTACAACAGTATTACCAACAATAGCCAAAATATGGGGAAAGCCCAAATGTCCATCAACTGAAGGATGGATAAAGAAGATGTGGTATATATACATATATATATATATATATATATATACCATATATATACACATATATATATGGAATATGTGGCATATAAATAAATATATTATTTTTTTAGGATGGATAAAGAAGATGTGGTATA